AATATAATCGATTGTCTCCCTCTCTTTCTCTCCCTTTATATCGGCCGGCCGTTATTATGTAAAAAAAAAACCTTGTCCGCCAAATCGTATTATCCAATTGTTGTCTTTATTATTATAATATTATTTTGTATGTGATAAAATAACTTATGCCGGTCGTACACGACATCCGTGCGGAGTCACGTTACCGATGTGCGCGGTCATGATGTTTTTTACACGGCCGGATGTGATTGCATGTGTGTGACCATGTTAACGGATTTTCGGTAGCAGTGCAGAGACTATTAAGATGGAGTGCACAACAATTGTTGAAAAAAATTACAACATCTTGTGCTCCCACGAGCACACTAGTAGTTATCGCATCGCGCCATCGACGGTGGTGTATTTTAAGAGCTGCTAATGTGCTTTACCGCAGAGTCGCGAGGCAGAAGAAAACAACATAACCGTCTTATCTCAATTCTATACGACAGAACCAAAGCCCCCGCGCAAGGATCCGCGAACCATTTGAATTCTCGGCATACAGACACGACGGACAGAAATATCCAATACACATACGCATACACAGAAGCAGACAAAACCCCAAAGAGAACAATGTGTGTAAACAAGAAAAGTTCCACGTGTTTGTTTGTCACGAGCGTAATAACATAATAACAAGTGAGTGAGTACACGGTACACACAACAACGAGAATCCGTTTAATGTGTGCAATGATAATAATAAAAACCAACCGACTGCCGAACAATCGTTTTGTTCACATTCGTACAGGTGTACAGTTATAATATTATATGTGTCTCGACAGTCGTCAGTCAAAGAATAACACTCGCACACTAATAATAATAATAATAATATGACCATACACACAAACGTACGTGCATTATTACGGCTTGTGTACGCAAAAATTGGACACATATTATCATCAGCCGGCGACGATTGTAAGTCTACCCGCAACGGTATATCTATTGAAAAACGCTATCTTGTCATTTCTCTTCTCTCCTCCCGACTTGTTTCGAAGACTCTGCATTATTACATATGTTTTTCATTATTATTACATTTATGTTGTAACACAATGCAACACCGTCTGCCTGCGCTCGTATAATACACTTGTACTCTATTAACCGACATTTTAACTTTTTATAATCGTATTACTCCTAACCACTTATCGATGTTATCTCGATGGTAGTGCTCATATCTATAGACTATATTCCTTCCTCGCCTTCACGAGTCCACGAATTCCCCCATTATACTTTGTCGTCCGTTGACCGGTTTTATTGGAGATTCATTGTGAACAATCGTATGTAATAAATGTTTGCCAATGTTTGAAATCCACAAGAAATACAACTCCACTGTGTCAATCCCATATTGCTGTCTTGGGGAATTGTTCCTTTAAAAAGTTCGTCTGGTATATGTAAAGTGCAATAGCTTTATTTGTCTTTAATCGCCTCGCCTCGGACCCAGTAGTGTTTTGTGCGATGCCACTGCATTAGCAGATCCCATGCCGTGTCGTCCGGCTACTATCGCGTCTCCTGGCGTGCGGTTGTTCGCAGATGATCCATGATTATCTCCAATTACAACAGGTATTAATAGACGATATTAGTGCTATTATGGTAGCGTAATGGTGCGATAAAAAGGTCGAACGGTGGAAACGCGGTGCCCGGAGAGGACGTTGACGCCTGGACGGAATTTACCGATTAGAGCAGCAGTGGCAGAAGAGAGACCGAGAGACCGCAATCGCTGCCACCGCCGGTGTCGGTGCGTAGAGAGATGTCAATGACAAACGATAATAACGCTCTGTGCACCTGTTTCCCATCGAAATCTCACGATTCAAATATACACACCGCTGAGCGGTCCATTGTTATACAGCGGCAATCGATAACGTGACGAATTCGCATCGCCATGATGTTATGCTACCGTACTTTACCAGGAGCAACCGGCCGAAAAACGTACCAGCAAAAAAAAAATGTTTAAATCACCCAGTCCGATTCCGTTTGGCCGAATGGTCGCCTTAAATTTCGCACGATCCTAAGAGTAAACAGCAAAATGCGTCGTAAGTAGCCTACTTAAGTAATGTTTAAAAAACCACCCTTAAACCGGCGCTAGAGCCCTACACACCGAGTCACTCGCCAGTTTCCTCAGCCTTCGGCGGTTCCTCTTTTGGTCGTAGCACGTTTACTTTGTTTCCTCGGTATTACTGTAAATAACGTTCTACAACAGAGTCACAAAGCGCCAGTGTGTCTTTTCTCCCATACTCTTATAAACTGCACGGTTCTTCGTATTATTATTATTGTATTATTATTTATTCCAAACGGATGTAATTATTATCATTACCGAGTGTATTATACAATAGCTGTTATTATTAATATTATTATGATTCGCCTAACGGTATCGATACAGAGCGGTTCACGAGATATGTCTTGGTCAGAATATCGTTCATGTATTGCAATAAATTACAACTATATTATTTTTGTGTTGTATTTTGTATTATTGCGGTAATTGAATTGTCCCGACCCGGTCATCTATGTCGGACGACCGAGGCACGAGGAGCTGCCGTACACTACAATGCTATCATATACAATAAACACAATATTGACATGTCTTTTGTATAAAATATTGTCGTTGCTTTCATAATATGTGTGTGTATACCGTTCGATTGTGGTCCGGACCAAACGCCAAACGCAGTTATAGGCAAACACACATCACATGTGGCGTACCGTGTAATTGGACGGAAATTTGAAATGAAAAAATCACACTTCCAAGAAAACGGCCGTTGCGTTGTATGTGAAAGGAATATTATCACGGTCGTCGCCATCAGTACTGCCTCGGTGATCAGTCCAACATCTTCTTTTGGTTGTTTTCCGAAAACCACTCCGACATGTCAATCCGTAACGCAAACGGGTCTCTATGTACATTTTTTTGTTAACACTGGCAGGTGGTGCTCGTAGTATCATAATACCTAATCATAATAATGAATTACAATTGTTATTGTAGTTCCAGATCATTATGCACGCGGTTAAAGAGACGGCGGGCATTCCATCATCGGTTTATGCCAATCCACAACGTTATCTGCATATTCTATAGTCTACACAGTCGTGTTACACCAGTGGAGGTTAAATACCGCGGTCGGAAACCAAAGCGCGTGCGCTAGATTACTGTCTTCCAGAGATCTGCTGAAAAACCAACAGTGACAAAAGAAACGATACCTTCGATTCCATCCAACTTCTGGCCAACTTTTTAGGTTAATGAGTAAGAACTTTAAGACTCGATGACTCATTCCTAAACAAAGTCCGCTTTATGATAGACTCGTGGTTGAGTCGCTTGTCTCTGTGTTAACAAGTCGACGAATGCGATTTGTTGGGCCAGATGTGAGGCGATGCGCTGTTTATTTCCGGCATTGTGTTCGTTCTAAGTTGGCACATATAGATCTCAAAGTGTGATCATTGATCGCCGACCTTCGTCGGATCTGCCGCAATCGTCCTCGCCAGGCCAGCCGTTACGCCGTGGCGAACTGACGACGTTGCACAACCCATCGCCTCGGAGATTGCCCACACGGACCGTGAATCCACCGAGGTCCAATAAACGGATTTCTGATGAAAGTATGCCGACGAGCTAAGATGTCCATCCGCTATGTGTTGTGAATCTGTGAGTCGTCAAGTGTGTGTGAAAGAATCAATCCAAATTTGCCGGTCCACCGGGTCAGCCGATGGTCCGGCTTCTAAGGTGGATGATTTTGAATTGCAATGCTGTAGACCATGACAAAACTATCACCGTATATACTGTATAATGAACATGGACGTCGTGTTAATTATCACTATTGAATAATTGGTCACAGCTAATCACATCTCACGGATGACAATTACTGTTAAAATTCATTAATTGTCGTCATCATTTTTATAGATCTAAGATCAATAGATATCGATATATCGGCATAGTACCTATGCCGATTTTCCCACCTCTAGCTATTTAATTCGGATGCGGTGCCACCGCCGTATCTTAAAATGACTCCAGACGATCATTTACGGAAAACCGTAAGAAAAAAAAACAACTGTTGGTCTGAATAATAATAATTGTACACATTCATTCGTCGGACAACAACATAGTTCACACATGGTGTCTATAATTTACCCGTGAAACACCTTGTTTCCGCATGACACTATAATGTCGTCCGGTGTATGTAGGTGACTCGTTTCGTCTATTGTGGTTTTACGGGTAACCCATTTATGTGTTTTTTTTTAACCTGTGTGAATATTAGAAGAAAAAAACTTGCACCTATACGTATTACAGCATCGTCACGTTAAAAATCACACATCATACAATAAGGCGCTGTCGCGGTGGTTTTTTTTTGCACATATCAAAACGGTATTTCTTGTTTTTTTTTTTTGCTATTTATTTGAAATAAAACCTCAATTGCGGTCTAATCCGACAATACAAAACCATTAATTTTTTTACATTTTTTACATTTTTTCATAATATTTAGTATATACTTTGTGTTCGTTCGAAGCGTTTAGATTTCTTCAATATTAACATGGGTTTGGTGCTGTATCATTTCTTATGAAAAGTATAAATAAATTATGCGGTAATTTTTATCATTTCTTTTACTACTAATTTTAAGGTTTGGGCGGATTAAAAAATACTAACAATAATTAAATATTTTTGATCTAAATATGATTTTCCTATTTACTCAGACAATAATAATTAAATATCAAAGTAGCTACAGATAGATACCATAAGTGTACTTTGAATTTATAAAGACTATCCCAATTTTTCTTTAGTTGATTAGTTAGATATGAAAACACAAATGAAGATTTCTGAGGCGTATTACTGGCTGTTATGCCAAGAAAATTTAGATGAATGTGTTTATAAGAAAGTGTGTGTTATTTAATTTGCTTTCTCTTGTATACCATTCAAATGGTATTATTTAAATCTGCAATTTTTTTTTTTAATTGACTGTCCACAGTATGAATACTTGGTAAATATCATTCAAATCAACAACAAAATAGTTTAATGCGCTTACCTGTAGTAGTATTAACGTGAACGCCGCATACTGACATCTGAAATGAAACAAACAGAAATTCGGTTAATAAATGAGTATTAATACTAAGGTTTACATGTTTTGAGTTTATTTGATGATGTTAATATTAGTTTAAACTTAAAAGTTAAATTGGAACACTTAATAACTGTCTATTATGTTTTTTTATACACTAAAAGTTATAAGTATAAACGTTTTCTCCTGTTTTTATACTTAAATTCTGCTGGAGCTTGAAGGGTTCTGAAATGCCCTAAGCCCTTCCTCGCCATTAGTAACAATGGTCGTAACACTTTTAAACAGTATTACGCCCCGGAACTGAAAACCAATAAACTAAATCGCACTTTCTTAAAAGAGATCCACCCGAATTTCTATATGTGCACAAAAGTTTTAAATGTCATATTGGCTCTTTTGTAGGCGAGGTTGCACATACAGAGGTAGAGATTTTATTGGATTTCATCGAAATAGAGGGTTGTGAGAATCACACACTAAGCGTTTATAAGAAAACAGAACCAATCCGATCGGAAGCGATTACATTGAATTGAAGACGGCCCTCGGGTGTCTTCCGAGTCTAGAAAACCGAAAATCCAATATGCTCGTGCCATCAGATCAAAGTGACTACGATTTTTCGACTCTTGAACAATCGACCCCTATAGCATTGCTGATATAGCGTTTCATATAGTACAGCAGCCCCGCTTCGCCGTGAAATCACATTACGCCGTTGGCCAATCCAGTGTGAACGACACAATATGATGGAGTATGGAATGGAAGCTCGGTGTGCTTAGAACAAAATTAATATTGCTCACAGCTTCTCGCCGGGATGACACTCTGGGTAGGTAGGTATAACGGTATATAAACAGGCGAACGGCAGTGACTATTAAACACAGCCGCCGCCGTCGACCCTGTGTATAATTAATTATTTTCAATATTTTACATGGTCGTGTGTATTCATTTTTTTCGAATTAATTTTGTGTTCATCTCTCGCCTCCTCGTCTAATGACGCGTCTCGTAGCCGGCTGCATCGGCCTGTAAAATGTGTCACGTTTCCCGACGCCGTCCATTGTTTACCCCAGAAATAACACTTTTTTTTTTTTCGAAAAAACACCAAAATTGCGTTTTAATAGACCCGCTATGGTCGCCGACTCCTGTGCCAGCGATCGTTATAATAATTATAACAATAATGATTTCGCTAACTGTTTTTGCCCGACGTCTGCGCGCTACCCGTTTTCATGTGAATTCGCGCGCCGTACGACGTGTCAGCCGACGTTACAATATTATTATTATTAATCGTCGACACCACAATACGGTACCGAACGGTACCTGTACAAAATGTACATACCTATACCAGATATAGACATAACACATAGTCGGACAGCATTAAACAGATATAAGGTTTCCACGGGCGGAGAGGGCGGCCGGCCATCCGATGGGAACAACGCGCGTACAAAACACGAGATACAGATCTACGAGCAAAACTTCTCATTTCGATTATTCAAACGAATTCACAGACTTCCGTCTAAATCTTAACAAGTAGAGTGCGAAATATTTTTTTAAATGTTACGTGTGAGCAGACAAACAATATTTTGAATACATGTAAAAGAAATCGTTGCAAAATATCATATTAAGACAGCTAAACGTGTAAATATAACTACCCTCTTCTAATGGTATTCCTAGAACAAAAATCTAGTTATGAAACTTTTTGTAAAAAAAAATGAAACCCTTAAGCCACAGTTTTATACGCCCTTCAAAACGTCACAACCTTTTTCGTTAATCCCACATTTTCGGATAAATCACATACATTTGTTCGTTGTCAATTATCAAGACAGAGCCTGATTGATCTGATTTACGGCAGATGCTTGATATCCATCCACTCGCTTTCCATTAGACCTGCGTATAAATGTGTTGGCATAAATCAAACATTTGACGTTTGGAACTAATAGCATTCGCCGACGGACTTGGTTCGGGTTAAGGTCGTCCGTTGCGCTATATAATTTGCGTATTGAGCATATTTGCATAATAACAAATATATATATATATATATATATGTTTTTTAGGTCTTACATTGTCTATAACTATAATTAACATCATCATCTTCGCGTTTCTTCCTATTTTTTTTTTTTATTATTATAATTTTTTTCTTTTATCGCCAAACGGTACATTTTGCAATACAACGGTGGCGGTAGCGGTGGTGGTAGTAGTAGTAATGGTAGTTGTAGTGGTACGAGCGTGCCACTAGCCTAACTTTGCGGTAACGGTACTGTTCCCGGGTTTGGGCCATCCATCGAACGATGCGTACCCAACCAACTGGAAAAGAGTCATTTTTATTGTTGTTTTATTATGACGGCGTACGCCGTGTCTCGGCGGCATAATAATAATATAACCGGTACATTATCGCACCATTTACAGTTGATCGGGAACTACATGAAGAATACCCGAAGGATCCCATCGCAGTTGACTTTAAGGGACACGAAAATCTTACAACGTCAACAGGGCTTCAATTCGTCCTGGCATAGCCGTAAGGCCTCTTCGAAAAACTCTTTGGCTTAAAAAAACATAAAATGGCTCGACAGCCCCTAACTGTCCATCGTATCGTGCTCGTCCGAGTACTCAGATAAGAATAATCCAAAGCCTAAGTCGCTCGCACGTGGACGGAGAGGAAGACTACTTGTCTTGTGTTTAGTGTCAAACATACTTAAAAAAAAATAAAAACACCTGTCGCCATATAAGACCCAAACAAACGCCCGACTGTGTCCGGGTACTCCATATAATTAATTATTAGTGTACAGGAATTTTGTAAATTGCGCCCTAGATTACAATGTCGTAGAGGTCTTTTTTTTCCCTCGACACCGTGACCTCGCTAAGGTCTGCCAAATCAGCCATAAAAACAATGGGTTTGCAGTAAGTAGAACGCGGCCGTTTAGTCGTTTTCCCTATGATAATATTATTAAACGCGTGGCCTACATAATAATAATAATAGTAATATAATTTGGCTCATATTGGCGACACACGGAGAGCATGTTTGTATCATAATAGTTACATCCGTTGAAATCTTTAAGACAGGCAAAAACTATAAGCCATGAGAGACGCGGCCAAAATGAAGGTATATATTATAATATTATTATAAGTACCTAACGTTGTCACACGGCGACTAAGCGATTTTCTTGTTTTTTTTTGTTCATTTCGGTTGCAAAAAAAAAACTATTAAGTCATTGTCACACGCGCGTATTTTAAATCGATCAAAAGGGTTTATATCGGAAGTGTGAAAAAAATCAATCGAATAATTAATTGTACGCGAAAATAACAAGCGCGTTAAGGACTCGGATTTTTGTTTTTTTTTTAATTTTTAGGGCATATCACAGTGAATATATATTATTATACATATTAAGGTCGACTGTAATGGTGCCACAAGACCCTGCGCTTGTATTTCAAACGTACTACAACAATCTAATTAGGTTAGGTTTTCGACGAAACCAGTACGTTCTACTATATGAAAAGTTCTATCTAAGCATTTCATAAGGCGTAGTTGTTAATGTTTTTGTTAACTTTTGTACTCAATCCAAATATTATGCCAATAATTTTTTATTTACCCCAGCATTGGCTGAAAAACTCAAGTTTATTTTTATCATCGTCATTACAAACAAGGATTATTCATAATGTTTTGAGCGATTAAGAACCATTCTATAGGAAACCCCTAGAAATCTATCGGGTAAAGTGGATTTTCAAAAACAAAATCCGCGGCAATGATGAGTAAACTTGATAGCGGTGTAACACCTGTTCGGATGCAATTCACCAACAGCCGTTTTTGGATGAAGAACTCTTATGTCGGAAAAGATAAACCTAACTAAACAGCCCAACTTTTTTTTTAACCCATTCGGCAAAAACAGTGTAACTGTTGGCCGGTAAAAAAAAACGAAGAATGGGAAAAAGCTAACGTTTATAAACTTACGGTAACTCGAGGTTCTTTTTTCCATGACGATTTTATGACAATTGCTATTTTCTTATGTACAATATGTATGTAGGTATGACCGTTACTCGGGTAATCCGAATGATATGGCCGATCAGTGAACACAATACACGGCCACCGTTTTTCACACATCCACACAAATCTTTTCTCACAGATGGAATTTTTGGCAGTTCATACGCAATTGTTGGATTATCGCAGAGTTACCGCGCTATTACACAGCCCTGGGCCGTACACAAAAATATGGCATTCGATTCGTTACAACACCGTAACGCAATCGTGTGTGCGTTTTTTTCCCCTATCTACGTCAACGTTCCCAAACAAACGGACCAAAACCGATACAACAACAATAATAATACTAGTTTATAACTGTTCTTACTTAGCACCTCGTAGCGGGCATTTGAAAAAGCAGATGTAACCGAATACCCAATTGAGTGAAGGAAAAAAAAATAAGTAATAATAAACTTAACGAGTACCGGACGAGATCACTTATATTACATAATTATTTTTCCATTTCAATTTGAGATTTATAACTATTACCTAAACCTATGTACCGAAATCTTGCAGCTTACAGACTGCAGCAGGTAATAACCGATGGAATTACAAGCTGAAATGAATAGCTCTGTGTCATAATATTGTGTATTATATTATTACATCCTAAATAGATGATCCCGAAAAAGCGGTTTAATTGTTACTTTAGTGCGTGTAAGAAAAGCGTGACTGACTGTAACGTTTTGTCAAATTAATCTCGTCGTTGATGAAAAAGTGTTTTAGAGGGAAATTCTACAGCTATCAATGTGATATTGTATTATTTCTTCTATAATTTTCTGGGTTTTTCCTGAGGTTGTGGAATACACATTTTCCTAGTCTATCGGTACTAAATTATTTCGAATCACAGTTTTTTTTAGACAGTCTTATTAAAATTATATATAATAATACTTGGCAGGTAGTTTACTATGACTTGTATCGCGCTTAGCGTACTACCGTGTTTTTTAGCAAGCGTTCCCTATTGTCGCCTGTAAGCAAATTGACGGTTAAGAATATCGTCGACGCATACCTTAAAG